AATTTGTTGGCAAATATTAAATAAAATAAAATGAAAAACACTAAGGAACATTTATCAGTGAATTAACAAATATTCGTTTGTTTTCCGTAAAAATAATAATGATTTAAATTTTGCGAGAAATAGAAAATGATAAATAAATCTAAAATTTTATTAAATGTTAATCTAATGATAAAATGCAGACAAAAGAACAATAGAATTATGAAAGTGAATGAAAATGTATTTTCGTTTCATATTTATATTGTATATCATATGATGTTATGTATGAAAGAGAAACTGAATTATCATCAATCAAATTGAGGCACAGCTCTGCTAACGATAGCAAGTCTTGTGTAGTGTCTGCAGCAATGGATACAATGGCTTCAGCGCTGGTAAGACATAAACACACTTATGACATATTACATGAGACTCCTCTATACTCCACACAACACAACATACCAGTGCCTCGTATGCCTCGGATGCATGTTTTATGACATTAGCCTCTATAGCCCTTACTCTGCGATACTCTATACAGAATCGCATACAGAATATACAGAATATAGTGTATGGAGAATAGAGTAGAGCTTTTGTTGCTGTGATCAGAGCCTCGCGAGTATCCATACAACGAGTGTTTAAGTGCAAGAAAGCAGTCGTCCCATCAAATTATTCATTAGATGACGTCTGGGTTAACATAATAACTCTTATATCATCTCATTCTCAGCTCACTTCACATTCTGATCAGTTGTTGAAACACAACAGCACTAACGCTATAACACTATTACACTGTTTGCTATAATAAATAGTCTAAATGACCGCATATAACAAAACTACCCAACATTATTCAAATTGATATTTGTTTTTGTCTACCAGTCCTACCAGTTGCCCAAAACGGCATTCATCTCTTATAATACCAATACTGTTGGCTCTAATGCCAAATAATGGTTTCGCGTTTGGAGCCAAAGCTATACATTAAGGAAGAAAACAATGTTTTACGAGAATTACTTTTTTTCGCAAAACATTTCAGAATAAATAATTAGATTCTCTATTACTCGACGGCTTGTACTCCTATAATACCAAAGCCATTGTAACACACATTCAATGAATTGAAGTGTAATTCAAAAATTTTGGTTCAATATCTTTGTTGAAACACTTTATTTAATGAGTTTGAGTTATGCTCTGCTCTCCTCCAAAAAGCCTTCATAACCTACCATTCAATTGATTTATTACATGATATACACAACTCTTGCGACTAATTCTCAATTCTTATTCTCCACTCTTATATATGAATGAATGAAAAATATTTATTATTATTATTGTTTCCACAAATAAAAAATTGCATTTTTTATTGCAAAAATTTCAAATGTAAGCCAAAATAGTATGCATTTTATATTTTGATGCGAAAATGTATTATTTTTCTTATAGTTTCACACAATTTTCATTTAAAAACTTAAAAAATCATTTCATGTTTTTGTCTGTAATTTTGTTTTTTTTGTCACTTTATTTTGAAAATAATGAGATTTTATATGGCATTTCTTTTTGTGCTATAATAACAAATTGAACTTTTTTCGTACATTTATTTTCATATAATTTAATTTTGTTGCTTTTCCGTCTAGTTTTGAATATCATATTATATGCAATAATACTATATTTTTTCTATTTTCATCATTTATTTCACTATTCGCTACTCTTTTTATAGAAATTAGTTTTAATTGAAAAAAGTCTTAATTATATTATGTGTGCATTCGTTACAGAAGTTGTCTTTTGCAACAATGAGAGGGAAATAGAGAGGAAAAAATTCAATCTTTTTCTGGTTGTCTCAGTCTTTACTCTAAATTTTTTTGCATCAAAAGATCGATTAATCAATAGTCAAATAGAAGAGAGAGAAGAAAGTATCACTTCTTTGTTAAAGCAATGGTTTTCGTGGAGCGAGAAATAAGAAAATTATTGAATACAATACTGATGTGTAATCAATGGCTATGAAAGCAAAATGAAGTCTTTCAACGTATATATGTATAAAAAATCTAAACTCTAAGCAAAAGTATTCAATAAAACGAGAGAACATTTGAGTAAAGAATTGTGATTTCACTCCCAATTCAAAAGAGTTCGTAATTTCATTTCATTTCGGCTTTTCTGAAGCATCAGATAATATGTCATTTGGATCTCATATAAGAGTCTACTATACAGTAGTGTACAGTACAGTGCAGGTGATGCCAATTGACGGCTCATTTCATATACCACTTATCAGTTAGAAATCTAACTTTTTTCCTATTTTCCCGATTCTTAACATTTGAATTCCCAGTTCGTGTTTATTGAGAGGGAATCAAGAATTTCAATGAAATTTTACACCAATACTGACACTTTGATACAAATGTGTTTTCCATTCATATATTGATATGACTTTTGGTTAAGCATTTCATTAAACAAAAACGAAAAATACAAATACATTATTATTAAAATAAGTTTTATAAATTGATAGAAAACATGGTCTAAACAAAGATGAAATGCAATTATTATGAGATGTGTCTTCATTTTCATATGCATTTGCAATCAATCATAAAATGTAATGAAAGGACACGTTATCTAAAGTAAAAATATAAAGTGTTAAGAGAAACAAATTTTTGTTATTGTTAAAACATGAGATAATAACCACAAAAACATGATAATAAATAAAACAACAAATGTTTTCAAAGAGTTTGTGATGAAGATTGTGAATGAAAGATGTTATGGAAGACTAAAATTATTTAATTTTTCATTATTTGTAAACTACAAGCCGTATAAATGGGATGATTGCGAACCCATTTCTAATCGGATTATATTATACATTGTTTTTGAAGAATAGAGAATCTGATATACATTTGCATTTCTTTATGAAACTCTTTATCTTAAGTTATAATTAATTTTCTAAACTATGAAAATATAGAATCAATATTTGTGTTGAATTATTAAACAGTAGTCGAGCAGTGAATTTAATTCATGTACAAAAAATGTATGAAAAACTAATGTCTTTAATGGCAAAAAAGTTTATGGCTTTTATGTTTATTTAGGTTTTCTGTGGCTCTCATCGGCAATAATTTATCAGTTTTCTAACGAAAAATTTCAAATCAATTACATTTTGAATGATATATAAACTCATACTTTGCGCCAGAATTTTCAATAAATATTGCAAATCCTCTTTCACTCGTTTTGAGCACATTTTTTAATCAAAATGAAAAAATAAAGTAGAGTTTAAAATCGATTTTTGAATCAAAAATTGTCGGCTATTCCTATACATTGAGTATTTCTTAACAATTGTATTATTTGTTTGTTAGAAATACACACAAAATTTGTTAGCTTAAGAACCAAACATCGGTATCAAAGACCTTAACCCACGGTTTGAAATGTACTTTTAAGACTTCACATCCCTTTGAGATTTCTTGGATTTATTTTTCAAAACACAAAAACATATTAAAATTCTATTTAAATATTTAATTAGTTATCATAACTACATATGACATCATAACTAATAATAAAGTCTTTTGTATTATAAATTTAATATAGAGTTGTATTTTAATATAAAGTTTGTTCATAACTCTCTCCCTCTTTCCCTCTCTCTCTCTCTCTCTCTCTCCATTCTCTTTCTTCTGTATATAAAATAATGAATATAAGAATTTATATTAGTTATGCATTACACATATACACACACATTACACAATAGGATAAAACCAAATAATATACAAATTCTGAAAGAAAATTGTAATAATAAATCACATTCTTATTGTCAATAAAATATACAATTAAAATTATTTTTTTAAAAGATTAATTTATAAATTCTTATAACTAAAAATAATTACACAATACATCACTGAATAATTGTTTTTATAGCAATGATTTATTTCAATTCTCAAATCTCAACACTTATATCACTTCAAATAATATCATGAAAACAATTTCAATATATTTATGACAAATTCAACGATAATTTTAATAAAAATTTATTTGAAATAAATTCAGAACATTTGAATTTTTGTTATAAATTATATCCTTTTATTATTAAAGCAAAAATACATCAATTCTTTACTCAATACTTTATATATACTAATATGTAATATAATATAGTATTTTCTTCTTTCTCTGTTGAATCCATTGAATAATGAGAAATGTTTTTTAATTATAGCTCAAAATTCAATATAATAATTATATTATTTTATTAATAATTACATTAATTAATATGTACTATAATTATAAATTAACTCATAGAATATCAACTAAAGTACAGTAAACAAGAAATACCTAAATAATGAATGAAATCGATTAAATTGTTGAGAAAAATATGCAATTAAAACAAATATACATTTTTGGTAAATGTATACTAAAATGCAAGCACTGGTACTAATCTGTAATTACTATAACATACACTATATCTGCGTTTAATTTAATCTTAAATAAAATTTTGTTTAAAATTAATGTTTTTGTTTAGAGGAAGAGTTGAATATAACAAAAGTAATGTAAGAATAAGTTTTCATATAATTGTGACAACCGTTGCAAAGATATTAAACATTTTAGTAATAATAATAATACAAAATGTTGAGCTTTATTTGTAGTACTAAACCATTTGCCGCACTAATTGTTTAATGTTGTAGAAAGTTGTTAATTTTAAAACATTGTTTAATTGAATTTGCATTATTTAACATACGAAACAAGTATTTGATTAATATTTGGCTTAAAATATTAATATATGTGTCGAGAAAAATGATAAGTAAACAAAAGTGTATTAATGTTTATAACACTAGCCATAAATTGGGAAAATCTATGTGTGAGTGTTTGTCATACATCTGTTTAATTAAATACATTTGCTTAATGAAAATGTAATAAATATATCATATAAAGCACAGCAAACCTTTCAATAAATATTTTTTCGTCTTAGATTTTGTTTGAATGAATATATAATAATATTATAACAATATCTATAAGTTATATTTAAACAGTTTTAAAATTATAATTACATCTCATTTTCATGAGATATTCTGAACTTAAATACAAATTTATTTCCCGTTTCGGGCCTTAATTTACAACAATATTTATATAATAAATATATACACAATATATATGACAAATATTTAATGTAATTCTTTTGGCTTATAATTGTTTGGGTTAGGCGTTGGAGATGAGCCGCTATAAGGCATAAGCAGTGGCTGACAGTCGATGGATGAGCCGGAGTTGGATGCGATGGGAACAGAGGTCAGGTCCCTGTCATCGCCGATACACAGGCGAGGGATGTCTACCCGAAGCCCGCGTCCCGGATAGCTGTTCTTCTTTAGTCTCAGACTTGAGTTTTGATGCTTTTTCGCACCAAATAGTCTCACTTTAATGTATTCGTGTAACTAAAACACAAGTATCAAAATGTTTGACGTTTAATGCAAATATGCGCTCATAATTAAACATTAGTGTTATCTATTCAATAGAAAGTTTTTTGCGACAAGAAATAGGGATTTGTCTGCAATTTGTAATAACATCGTCGCGACAGTCATAGAGAGACAAACTTATACATAAAAGTAGGGAAAAAAGCAAAAGTAAAAAAGCATTAAGCCTTACGTCGTATCGTTGGTAACAGTGAAAGAGGAATACAAGATAGGAAAGTGTGGTGTTTGAGAGGGCAAAGATGCACTGGAAAGATGTGGTGACAGTGTCTTCGAGCGCCAAAACGCTGAGAAACCAATTGACGGCAAAGAACGGCAATAGAGTGACGCCGGCCCGCAATGCCGGCTGTGTTTTGTCGATCTCTGTCTTATGTGTCAATGGCTTCGTCTCGAAGAAACGCTTCAAAACCAATAACATTATGACTGTATTTGTCTGCGAGAAGAGACAGAAGAGAAACATAAATCGGTCGCAAAACCCGATGAAAACCCAATGAGTTTTAATCTCTCGACGAAAAACTTCATCAGACATTAAATACATTGCGTGAATGCATTGTTTGGCACACAAAACAAAAGCACACATTTGTATGGCTTTTCTCGCAAAACACGAGAAGCAAGAAAAGGAGAAAAAAGCTGCAAAACGTGAGAAACTTACCAGAATTAGCACAGAGACAGGCACTATGAATGAGTACTGCATCCCTCCCTCAATCGACATCCAACAGCTAATTGAGACACAAAAAACAAACATTACTATAAGAATAATACTGCCAGACATTTCCAGCATCACATTTATTTAATACCCTATACTATAAACTACAGTACAGTACTGTTGTTTCACACACTAAATCCCTACACAGACTTTCTCTCGTTCTCATTGTCTACACAAAAATTTATGTAAATTTCATATTAAAATTATTCTTGAGATAAAAAATATATATTTTTCTTTTAGTTAACACTATTTCATGAATTTATGGAAATTGGATTCATTTTCATATGAATTAATGTTTTCAGTAATATTCTCACTCTTCATCTCAGTTCATATTTTAATATTAATATAAATATAAATGTGAATTCAAGGCATATATTATATAATACAGTGGAGAGAGAGAGAGAGAGAGAGAGAGAGAGAGAGAGAGAGAGTCCTATTCTAATGAAATAAATTTGAATGTTTTAGTTATTTTTTGAACAAATTGTTGGGTGAAAATTCTACATAAAAATTAATTTATTTAAAAATAAAAGAAGAAATGTTTATATATAATGACACTTAAGACCCTTTAATTGTGAAAAATTAAAATATTGCGTTCACAGACTTAATATGTATACAAATGTAATAAATGTTCAAAACCTAAATTAAATGATAAATTTTGACGTAAATATTTTGCGAAATGCAATACAACATTAAAATACATATAAATATGATAAATATATAAGTTATATAACTGTGTATATCATGTATATATAGGGCTAAACGAAATGGATGTGTCGCTCACTATTTTCTTAAGTTTTGTCGGTTTTTGTCTTCAAATCTATGCCTCAAAAGAGAGACTGAATTATATTTAAAGGCAAATATGGAAAGAATGGAAATCAAAAGTGGGAAATATTTTTTACTCAAATATATCTCACATTTATTTCCTTAGATCTCAATTTTAAGTCAAAGATCTGTCGACTTTCTATCGATTTCTTTCAATTTTTGAATTATTTTATAAAATTTCAGTTTTATTTTATCAGATTTTGCTTTCATTTCATTTTATTCTATTTCGTTGTATTTGAAAGACATTCAAAAACAAAGTCTTTTAAATGCAAAGACATATCAATAATACTCTAATGTATTAAACGATGAAAAGAATACCAGAGAAAAGCAGTTCCGCCAGGAATTGTATTTGACATTCAATACATACTTATATAGAAATTCAAAAATACATTACATTAACTAATTTATTATAAAATATTGCCGACAATACAGAGTATCACATAAAATATTTCTTATCAATCAATCATTTATTAGTAGACGAAATAGTATTGATATAAAAATTTGCATATTATTTAATAATAGAGATAATAATGTAAATGGATTTTAAAAGCTAAAAAGTTTTATATTTAATGCATAATATATGAAAATGCAATTTAAATACTGTAAGCGAATGACTACTAATACTACTGAAAATTAGCATATATTGATAGCTTAACTAATTTCTCAATTTGAATAATATTAAGCGCTTAAATAAAAAGCATATATAGATATTAATTTAGATATTAATTTTCATTGAAATTTCTACATTTATTTTTATTTTTCCTGAAAATGCATTTTAAAATAAATAGTTCAAAAATATTAATATAAAAATAAAAGCGCCAAAAACTCAAATTTATAAATGAGTTGTTTTAACAAAAGTTAAATTAATAATAAAACAAATGCAAACTTAATTGTGAGAAATATGATTGATTAACTGATGCCAGCGTTTAAATATCGTTTAATTAAAATTTCCATTCATTCATAAATCACTAAATTTAACACATTTTAAAATGTCAGTCAACACAACACATATTGGACTCTCTATTCTCACTATAAAAGTGTGTAAATTATGATGAAATTGAAAATATCAACAATAAGTTATCAATTTATCGACTCTATTATATTGTAATAACGTTTGGCTAATAAATTGAAATATGAAATCTCTATTTTGCATAATATGACACGAAATGCGAATATTTTATAATTTATTGCACATATTTTTAATATATTTACGTTTTGTTGTATTTATATTATTAATTATTCAATAGAAAAATTTAAAGTTTAAAAATATTTTTAACCAAAAAGCGTATTACAAATAAATTATATGATATAAAACACATGAGAGGCTATAAATGCTATAAATATTATTAATATATAATTTTTAAAATATTACAATATAAGGCTTAAAGTATTTTTAAACAAAACTTTTAATAAAACTCGCAAATCGTTAGTTTAAGTTTTTTTCAATAATAAATTGAGACTTAAATTAACACTTTTAGTGGAATTTTTAAAAGGTTTTTTAGTTTAATTTAATTTGTTGACAAATTTAATATAAATTTATATGTTTCCGAAATAATAGAGGTTTTTTTTATATAAGGGAAATGCCATTAAACGAGCATTAAATACCTTTTTTGTTAGCATTTTGTTATACAATGTATGGTTTGAAGTAAGAGTTTTGAAATCCATTAACAGTTTAGCAGTTTTTAATAAAAAGATAACGTAAAGCAAATAAACTTAAACTCATTTACTATTTTTATTTTTATATTAAGTCCGTTAACTTGAATGCAAAGTTATGTTCATTTTCCTAAACATATACTTAAATATTTGAAAACACTTTCAAAACTTTAGGCATAAATACTTTGTTAATAATCTGATTACAAAAAACACGTTTTGGAAAATGTTGTATAAAAGCATAAAATTGTATTTAAAATATCCTTAATATATGCAACAAAATTGAGAAAATAGTAATTTAAAAACTATTTACGTAAAAATTATTTAAAGTATCATTGGGCTAGATACTTTCTACACCTGCGTTTACAATGTAAACTTGTGTGAGTTTATAGTTTATAGTCATAGGTTTTGAATGCAATCATAATTGAAAGTATGCGTAAAGAGTTGTTAGACTTACTATCGTTTGGTTTCATATCCCTCTGGATTGAGATAATATGAGACGAGGACTGAGAGGGCCGGCAATGCAGTGGCGAAGAAGAAGAACTGTTTACAACCCCATTGATGGCTGAAGAGTATTGTTGTGGTTCGCGACGACCAATCGGACCAACACTTGGATGAAGGGGTGAATGATTGATGAGATTCAGAGAATGGTAGCGATGAGGACGACGATCGAGACAATGGTCTCCAAAGGCGTTGATAGAGAAAGACTGTGTGGGAGAGCATCCAAAAAGCGGAGACTAAGTGTAGGAAATGAAACACAAGCGGAACCATTGAACAGATGTGTTGAGAGAGAGTCCATTTGAAGGCAAACGGCGCGCCCAACAGAAATGTTAACTGAATGGCCATCAGAGACGACACCAGACTTATGAGGATGAATGACGCCTCACAGGACTCACGGCTTCTTTGGATGATTTGGCAAAACAGCGAAATCATGAGAAGCAGCAAACTTATGGTAAAACTGATGTACAAAACAATAGTGTGCACAAGAAGTAAGTGGTTGTGTCCGGAGGTGTTGACCGTCGAGTCGGTGGACGAGGACTTGTGAAAGAGTGCGGCGATTATTCCGACTTCATTGCAGAGACAGTGAATCGATGATACATTGCGTGCAATTGTCTCACAGCCTTTCCTTTGCCACAAACTAATTGACAAAAATAGTTAGACAACAACTCTTAGCACTATTTAGCACTCAATATCAGTGACACAACTGTTAAGCAGTAAATGCCAGCGAAAAAAGCGATATAAAGAATGAGAAAAAACAAGACAAACAGTTAACACACAATACGGACACCGATTTCAGTGACAAATGGCACTCAAGTACTGAAGTCTAACTCTCAACACAAACTTTTACTTTACTATTACTTACTCTCTCGCAGATCGGATTCGTCCGCAACTAATATCATCGCTCGCTCTAACCGTACGCTTCAAACGCAACTCAACCTCCACTTTAGGCGTCTCTTCAAAATCTACTTCAATACTGACGGCGGGAACCACTGATACCAACACCACATCACTCATCACTTCATACGCGCTGTTATCCAGAACTGAACCCAATTGACGGATCCATACGGAAGAGATGCCAACTCCTAATTTGTTGAAATCTAGTTTTGCACACAAATAGATATTACGAATAAAATTACAAATAATTGATACCATTTTTTAGTTGGAAATTAAATTACTATTTTGTCACTCAAAGTGTCATTTCATTTAAAATGTTGTTTCAGAGGGAAAAAAGAATTTGCGGAAAAATAGCAACAAAATAAGGAGTCATTAAAATATAATAAAGAGATTTTGATTATTATTTATGTGAAACGATGCGAAAGCAATATATTTAATATAAAAATAATGTGTAATAGAAAATAGTAAGCGAGAGAGAGAGAGAGAGAGAGAGAGAGAGAGAGAGAGAGGACTGGTTGGGATACCTTCGAGATGAATGATAACTTTGGGTATAATAGTGTTGTTGATAAGAGTTGTATAATTGGATGGCGTCACGAGTGGTATCAACGATCCAAACGGTGTTCTGTGTGTTAATGTCATGACTTGATTCAGACATACATCACATCCAAGACAACGCAGCAAAGTATCCAAAAATAAAATTGATATCAAATAATAGAGTTTAGAGTTTAATACCAATTATAAAAGACATTAAATTTTTTGAAGGGATTATTGAGAGACTTGAAGAGGAAAGCGAAGGGAATGAGAAAATAGAGAGGAAAGAATGCATACTTATATTCCTCGCGTTGGGAACTATGGGTTTAATTCTTCTGATGGTTCCGTCATCGCAGACAACAATCAGAGCGCGTAATATATTTTCGGACAGAAGTCGAAAGCCAAACAAAGCCTCCGCCGTCTTCTGTGTTATCAGTGCCTGAAGTAGTGTTTCGTTCAAGAAGTCAGTCGTCGGGTAAAGAAAATTGAGCCCAAAATATATAAGAATTTGTTATTAAACTGACAGATAATATAAGTCTCGATAAAATAGTGCCTCAAATCTCATTTCATTAAATCTCTTTTTCATCATTTTTGCTTTCATTTTAGGGATTTTTAAGGATTTTTATTTATTATTATTTGTTTCAACTTTCTATCCATAGATAGAAATTCGCATTTATTTTTAATGACATAGATTTTTATTCTTATCCTATGATCCAAATCGCTATCATTAAGTGTTAACTAAAATTAGTTTATATTAAAAATAATGCCTTTAATGTGAGAGAGAAGTCGATATGGGATTTGACTTTTGATTATATGAAGGATTCAAAAAACATTACATTCTTTTCTGTTTCGATAGCGAAGACAACTTGAGTTCGTGTCAAGACTTGATCGCAAATAGTCGTCAATGACTGCAAGAATACAATACAAATAAAGTCCGCGAAAAATAACATCAATATTAATGAAGGCTAGAGTTGATGGGGAGGAGGAGTGTATAGACTGTACAGATAAGTGATGGTCGACTCACTTGAATTAAATTAACATTCTTCTCCTCGTCTTCCATTCGGATCTTAATCTTCGCCCTAAGAATAGCATTGAGTGAATCGATTGCATCTAATCTATCCATTGGACTCCTCAGAGGAAACCGACCCGACGTTACTAATCGACTCAAGTCTTCTGCCAATGGGTACAGACCATCGACTAAGTGCTTGTGGACGTGATATAAGATCTGCATATCGTAGACAAACAATACCATTACCACTATTACCACTCATACGAGTATTACACCCAACACTACATCCCCTGTTCATCCATCCTTTCCTTCCCATTCTTCCATCAATAGTGACACAAATCCTATCCCAAACTCAACCTCTAATTAGTACTCAAAACCAAACGCCAAATCTCTCTTCAAAACTAATTTTTCATTAACTTTTTGTTTTTTGTTGCAATAAATTTTTTGCCTTCCCTTCACTGCTTCCCAACCATTCACTCTACTATTGCCTAACGTTTAGTATTTATATTAACGACATAAGTATTGCACATAAAGGATAGCATTGTGTATGTCTTATATCTACTATTGATCTCAACTATATGTCCGGAACAGTCGCAAAGGCCCTCAACTTATTTTGATAGTCATTGAAAAAGCTAATCAATGTCTTTACAAATATTTATATTGAGCTTAAAATTGATTCAATTTCTATGTAATGGTTGTGTAATTTAATTGAAAGGTTTTTTGTTATCTCAATTCCTTGTCTTTCAATAATTTTTAAACAAAATTTCATTGAATATAAGATACATTTTGTGTGACTTTTTTCCCTAATCTAACACTAATTAAGATTAATGTTAAGCTATAAAGAGATCTCATAGATCTCATGACTTTTTCATATTTATAGCCATAATTAAACACAAATCACTATAAATGGATCAACTTTTCTGTGTTTCTCTATTTGCTTACAATCCAAATGTTTTTCTTTTTGTTTTGTTACTTTGTTTTCAGCTAAATGTATACGAAATGAAGGTCTGGAGGAACAGTGGGTTTGGGATCCGTTCATAGAATCCCTAATTCATTAGAGAAGAGACACACAATTTATTCGTTCATTTCATTTACAATTAAATAGAGAAACACTAATGTATTAATGAAATCAATTGCATAAATGGCTGTTTTTATCAGTCAAATAAACGGTTAGAGAGAGAGAGAGAGAGAGAGAGAGAGAATATCAAAGGAAAATTGCCGATAATTTTTTTTAAAGTCTTGATAATAAATAAATACGAGTGAAATAGAGACTAGCGCAAAAAGTGACCGTAATATTGATCATGTTAAAATCTTATTTATGTTTTAGTTTTTATCCATGTATACACTTTACCTGAATTTTAATCATTGAATACATTTACTGACAAAAAGACATAACTTAAGAGATTAGCCGTGAATTCTTGTCTACTATTATATACATCGCTAACACTGTATGAAAGAGAGGGAAAGTAAAGAAAAAATGTGTATAATATGTGATTAATAGTAATGTCGGGAGGCGTGAGGGAGGGGGCGGGGGTTAGCAGTATTGGTGACCGTCTAAATAAAAACTTTGTAAAACTGTATAATCTTTGAGTCTTTGGATACAATTCACATAATAGTGTATGGTGTTTAATATACCAAACAATTAACTAGAATCTAGCTATGTAACTAGATCTAGATTTTCCAGACATAAAAAATTGTTATTATTAGTTTGACGTGATTATTGAATCATCAAGTTAATTGTTGAACTATTGTTTACAATAAACGTTACAATGTTTTAGTCATTTAGTGTCCCATTTTTAATATAATATTTGTAATATTTAAACCCAACTCACAATAAGTGTTTACCTTATAATATATTATATGAATAATATAGTAATAGTAATTTCTTTACATAAATGACCTTTTCTATTATAAATTCTATGTGTACGCTGGTGTACATTCTGGAAATACTAGAACTAGATCATGCAAATAAATTAGTGTACATAGAATATAATTGTATTTAAAAAAATTAAGATTGACTAACTTACAACCCGATTCACACATTTAATGTTAACGCAATATTATGTTTAATTAAATAGTTGTATTTTAATAATTAATCATAATATATTAATTACTACAAATTAAAATTACATACAGTTAACTGATCGTAACTTGGAATTGATCATTGTAAAAGTATTTAATACTTTTTAATATTTTATCTTAATAGTATTTTACGAATAATTTTAATGATTTTGTTCATAATCAATAATCAGCGGCAAACCTCACTAGTCAGACACAATATGCCTACAATACCCCCTACAGTGTCCATTCATATGAGCACATGTTTGAATAAATTGCATTAAGCCTATCGTTAATACAGCGGTTAATAAATAAGACGATTGAACGCAACTTAAATGATATTCATTACAACAAATACTATTACTTTTCATTCAATGTCTACACAAATATAAGTCAAACAAAAAACAACAAAAACTAATAATTATTTTTTGAACAAAATAGAGAGAGAGAGAGAGAGAGAGAGAGTTAAATTCTATAAAGTAATTATATTTTAAAAGGATTTTTCGCTAAAAATATCTTAACGAGTGATAAAATAAAATAAATTTTCATATAAAACCTACAGTAAAAACCTTATATGCAATTATTTTATCTCAATACTTTATTCACTAATCAAGATAATTTACTGTTTAAATACTCAGCAAAAATGACATTGTTCGCACAATGTTTTACAAATACTGTACATTATAAGGAGTGTTGACTGTAGTGAATATAAAATATACACGGTAATCTTAGAAAAATTAAATATAATTTAATTGAATATTAAACTCAATTTAAAGAGATAGCGATTGAAATAAAAGCAAAATAAAATAAATATAAAAAGTAAATAAAAAATACTACTAAACGGTTGCGGCAAATGTTGAAAGACTTTTTTGTAAGTCCGGCTGTGAGAGCACCGGCAGGTTATATACAGGTATAAACGGTGTCCCAATGATTTGGGACTATTGTGTATTTACATAGGAAAACATTGAGTTAGTACTTTATTATAAACACGTATAGATCAGGCATCTATAATCCGATTTTAATAAACTCGGTCATTTTCAAAAATTTATAAGTGACACTTTATCTCCTGGAACTAATAATACAATTTCACTAATGGTCGTGCCTATTTCTATGACAATATTTAAACTAAATGTATTATTTAAGAAATGACGGTCAAGAAAACGGATTTCTTCATTCAAA